ATCTTGCCAGAGATCCTATTGATTATCAAAATGCAATTCCTTCTCAGTCGTCGGCAAGCGGACGAGAATGCAATTGCAATGAGATTGGTTGACCTTTCTTAGTGCTGTTCTTCGCTCCATACCTCTTTCCAGTGTTGCTGTTTGCGGATAATACTTTTATCCTGAAGACAGGAGTGGAAGTTGGTGATATGATACAACAGATGAACCGCAGTATGGATAACCTGGAGGACTGGTTTTGTGCTAAAAAGCTAGCATTAAACGACAGCAGTTTTTTCCTCCGTTTCTTTGTCAGCAAACCCTATACAAACTCCGAATATAAGCTCGTAGGAAAAATTTTGTTCCCAACACGTGCGCAAAGTCTCTTTCTCATTTAAAGCTTATCCAAACTTCGCTTCATGTCGTTCGTTTAACTACTTCGGCGTGCAGGAAAGTGCTATTTTGCGCACTGGTTAGGAAAATAACTATTTCGAACAATTATTAATGTCCTTGAGTTATCACTACAGAAAATTCTCTCATGCAACGGTCAACAGTGTCAGCCATTGTTATATCTGCCAAACTTCAATAATTCTATCCCCAGCCCAGAGCTGGGCAGTAATTGCCTTGAAAGTGCTTGAAAAAGTGCTTCAAGCACAATAGTACTTCGAGCACAGTGCTTGCAAGCACTTTTAAATTACAGTGCTTGGTAATTGGTAATCGAAGCCCTCTATAAAAAGTGCTTGGTAATTGGTAATTGATTTTCGCATTTCAAGCCATTTAAAGTGCTTGCAAGCACTTAAAAGGCTTGCAAGCACTTAAAAGGCTTGCAAGCAATCAAAAGTTCTTGCAAGCACTAAAAATCAAGTCCTTAGTAACAACTTAACGCAGCATAAGCTTTAATGTGATTGACTGGTTAAAAGCCGTCTCGGCATTGGTAATATGGAAACAGTGTTATGTATTGTGTTAAGGTGGTTTTCCACGACCCTTAATATCGCAAGCCGGATTGCGTCGTCCTTCTCATAGAGCGTTAGGCGCGTGTAAGCGCGGCCCGGCCTGCAATATCATGAGCCGTGGGAAGCCAGCTTTATAGTTGAGTTTAGGTCAATGAACTATAACCAAAAACTGGAATGCGCACACATTGCCATATCTGCCAAAAAAATGAAGCCATGAAAGACAGATGCCACAAGGGGGAATGTTGTTTTTTTCTGTTGCTCGCTGACATATGACGTTTTCGAAAGTTTTGTCATATTTCCCTTCACAGGTTTCATCAATTGGAATACGTGTTGGAAGCAATTTTCGCCATTTAACATAATGAGTGCGACAAAAACAGGATCCCCTCCGCAGCAGCCGCACTCGGCTTCAAGTTCGTCCTTATGTGTTAGCATTCCAGTTTTTGGTTATAGTTCATTGGTTTAGGCTCTCCAAACCACGTGATTTTTCAATATGGCGAGCGTAGAAAATTTGACGTTTGTTTGTTTATCTTGAGTTTATTTGAAATATTTTTGAGCTAATTATAGTTTCTTTTGTTATAATATACTTTTTGAGGTGCAGAGTGAATATTCGAAGACTTTAGTGCAGGCAAATCGGGATGTGGGCGAACGATAAGTTTGAAAAAATGTCTAGTTGACATTTGTTTACATTTTGACCTTGTTTTTACAGCAATGAGCAAATGAAGGCCTATAAAAGCTTAGATTCTTACAAGTATTTCGACTATGGCTTTATTTTAGATGCAAGAACAGTAGTACTGAATAATTTTTACGTTTTAATGGGAAAAATTTGAAAGGTTGGGCACTGAAAACAACCTGACATCATCCTTGTTGAAACGCCTTCTAAAATCAACTACAAGACACCTTTGTGGCATTTTTAATTAGAAACAAATAGGGTTTAGTCACAAAATAACCACACAATCCACTTTAAAAAGCTTTAAATTGTGTACTGTCATTAGGGTTGCCACCTTTTGATTTCCGAAAACCCGTACATAATCGAAGCTAACTTTTTCCTACAGCCGTGTAGAAAAATCGATTTTCCGCACTGATATGCGTGCGGAAAATGAGTTTTCCCGCACGGTGCGGTAAAACTTTTTTTTTTTGACATATCAGTGCGGAAAAAGTTTTTCCGCACGGCTGTCAGTGCGGAAAAAATCGGTGTCCTGTCAAAATATATTTTTGCAGGTATTTGACAAATATATTTGAAGAAAATGCCATAAAATAAAAACTTTGAGGACGTCTGACCCCCTTTTTGCAACGAACTAGACGTCTGACGATTTACATACGTTATCTGTGACCTTCAAACAGATAATGTGCAAAATTTCTATAAATTTTGAGCTTTGAGAAAACAGTTTAGATGCTTCTTAAAATTACAACTTTGCCCGCGTCCCAGAGCCAGCTGTCCCGGAACTGTGAGTGCTGACTGTACACTAGCATTCTAGCACTAAAGTACGACCTATTTTGAAAATATCCGCCTTGCGAAAACTCTTGCATGTTTTTGGCGCCACCTCCTGGACTATTAGTCAGTTTATTATTTACCTACTTTGTCAAATACCTGTGGGGGCCCTGTGTCATATTATGGTCATATTCCCTGACCTGTTTTTTTGATAGTTCTCCGAGTATTTACGGAAATTATTTAGTGAACGGTCATTCAAAACCACGCGTGTGAGAAAGAATGGATATTCAGTCCTGTTTTTTGTGCAATCTCAGGAGTGAAGATCCTGAGTTTCGGCAGAAATTGATCAAAAGGACTTTTGTTGTCCGACTGACTTTAATACTCATTTTATTTGTCCGACCTTTACTACACATGTTTTAAATTTACATTGTTATTCATAATTATTTTTGTCGGACATACATGTATCAACTTCCTTAGAGACGCCACAGAGACATGTTGGGGGCGTCGGACTCCCCCAAAGTCACGTGATTTTTGTCCGACCTATGTGATATCAATAATGTAACATAGAAAACAGACGATTGGCATCAAAACCACACGTACATGTATCAACTTCCTCAGGGACGCCACAGCGACATGTTGAGGGCGTCGGACCTTCCCCAAAGCCACATGGTTTTTATCCGACAAATGTGATATCGTTAATGTAATATCAAAAATAGTCGATTGGCATTGAAACTACACGTACATGTATCAACTTCCTTAGGGACGTCAGAAGGACAACTTCACGAAGAGCTAGCGCGGCAATGTCCCATCGCCCAAGGTGGAGATATGAAAAATAATGTCCGACTTGGTGTTATGAAGCCGATCAGGAAGTTTGGCGTGTACATGAGTTACAAAATTTTAGGGTCGATGTACTGGGGACTATTATAGGGCGATAGTTAGTCACATTTTCTGGATCACTTAATTCTGATTTGTGAATGGGTACCATAAAAATTGATTTCCAGCATTTTGGAAATATACCGTCCTGTAGTGATTTGATGATGTCCAGAGATCGAAATAGAACGAAATAGCAGTTCTTTAGAAACAGAGGATGAACCTTATCAGGTCCAGATCCCTTGTCTGGGTTGATATTTTTTAGTTCTGTGTAGATTGCTGAAATTGCGATAGTGAGGTTACAGAGCTTGTGAGGGCCTAAAGAAAACTGATCTGGCATATCCAAAGAGTTTTCAATTATCAGTATAGACTGAACTGAAGTACTCGGCAAAGAGTTCAGCCGCTTGTGGGCTCATGGAAGCTGATCTTTCATTTAGGGTGTAGCTGGGTGGGTGGTTGTTTACTGGAGTTTTGTAGGGAATTTGTGTATGACCAGAAAGCTTTGGGATTATGCCGAAGAGATACCTCAGTTTCACTGATATAACTTTGAAGGCACTGCTTTGACAGAAAATTACATTGTGATTGCTAGTTAAAATATGTTCAGTAATCACGGGGAAGTTTGCTTACCTTAAATTTTTCATGAGCAATCTGTTTTTATATTGTGAGTGATTTCAGGTCATGCAAGAACCATTTGGGAAATTTCCTACTAGATTTTTTTTTTATTTGGTAAAAAAATTTCGTATGTATTTATATAAAATATCGTAGAACAGTTCCAACATTTCCTCAACCATCTTCCCACAAAAACAGTCCCGGGTAGGTATTTATTAATTTTATGGAAATTTGCTGATAAGTCTACATTTTCGAATCTAATACCACAAGAGGTTTCAGGATTACCGGATAATACTTTTACCTTTCACAAAACGCGTTACGCAACACCACGACTCCGAAGGAGGAGTGGTGTTGCTGGTAACGCGTTGAATGTCAGGTAAAAGTATTAGGTAATCGTGAAACATCGAGTGGTATTCAAAAGGTTATACAACGAACTAAACTTTAATACTATAAAATTTAAAAAATTATCTATAATAGAATTTGCTATAAATGCCACCAAGCGCGATAATCCCAAAAGGCTTATCACTTATTTAGCCTCTCGTGTCATATGGGAATAATGTACAGTTGTATAACGAAAATTAATTTAGCTTCATTCAAGAAAATAACTTAAAACACCAAGCGGTCTCTGGTCGTCAGAAATTGGGTCTGGTACCCGTCCCAATCAACCTAGATATGCTACTATGGTTTTCGTTTTTCTTATTTCCAGTAATCAGTTATTTTTAAACTCAAAATTCCTCTCCTGATCAGTACAAAAGTTTTATTGTCTGGCTAACCGAAGGGACTGCGATATGTCTTTTGAAAATTCATCAAAGAGATAGAAAAAAATACATACAGAAGAGGAAGATTATAAAGAATAAATAACTTGGAAATGGGGCAAGACTGAAAACCACATTTTGGGCGTTCCAAAATTATCAACTTTTATCCAAATTTCAACAGAGAAAAATTGATAATCTCAATATATCTAAGGGGGGGGAAAGTTATATATTTAAAAATATTGGAAAATCATATTTTTAACTGTGCTGAAGATCCCTATTGAACTGAAATTTTCTGATAATAAAGTTGTAAAAAGTTAACAAATTCTGCAAATTTTTAACATAATTTTCAACTGGACTATTTTCGAATGCCTAAAATTAATTTTGTAATTTTTGATTAACCCTAAATAGAATTACAACCACGACGAGCACCTGAATGATGGTAAATTTTGTCTACTCCGCGCCAAAATCCTAGCAACCGAAATTCAATACTCCAGTAGTTTTCCTGATGTATCCGGGAGTATGTACGGCCTGAATAATTGCCTGATTGAAGCCGAAAAATCGGAACTAGCTTATTTAATATCCATGGTTCACCTGCACATGGCCAATGTATTATTAGCTTTTGGTAAGCATTTTTTTTTTGTGGTATTTCTGCCTTAATCCGCACATTTTAGGGGTCAACACTCAAGCAATTAAAGTCCTGAACAACCCCCGATGCATGGTGGAGATTTTAGCGAATGGGTCTATCTACGACAGGGCCAGGGCTAACCTACTCTACATAAAGTGCATGATAGCTGACTCTAGTAGATTAGACACCGAAAGCAGGGCTGCAGTAATATGTAGAGGAGCAAAATCTTTGGACAAAGTGAAGAACGATTTTTTAAAAGTCGAGGCTTTTTCTAGGGCCAAGGACGCACTTTATTTTCAGGTACAGATATAAACATTTTACTATAGATTTTTATTTAAAATGTCTTATTTAGGCTCAACTCTACAACTCTATCAATCTATGTGAAGAACGAAACAATAGCTCATTGGAATACAGACTGTTAAATGAGCAATATCCCACTAAGAATACTCAAACTTTAATAAAATATTTGTGATTTTTTTTTTTTCAAATAGAACATTTTTTCTACTGACGTTTCATAATACGCCTAAAATCTGTTTCATAATGAACTTCATTATGATACAGATTTTTCAGCCACTGGAATCGAGTATTTTGAACATGAAAAATGTTTATATAAAAATAACAGACTTGCTTTGGAATTTTGGATTGTTTCTATTAGTATTTACCAGAAGAAACAACAAAAAATTAATAAATCAGGTGCGGAATTTATGCCCAAATTACGTCTATATCTTAATTTTTGAAATTGTCAAGTTGTCAACAATTGTCACCAGTTGAGAAGTTTACTATTCTTATAGAATATTATAACTATATAATACCTTGGTTACGATAATCATAAACAGGGTCTTAACTCCCAAGGGAGTTAAGGATTTCATAACTTCCGCGCGGGAGTTAAGGATATCATGACTCCCAAGGGAGTTAAGGATTTCCTTAACTCCCGCTTTTATCTAGTATAGGTAAAACTTTGACAAAAAATAGAAATTTTGGTTTAAGGTTTATTTCTTTATAATTCCCTTGATACATAAATAACTATTTCATTTATCAATGCAAGTAGAAAAAATAGTGTATGCAACTCTCATGTAATAGCTATTAATACACAAGCATGTTTTAGGATACGAAACGAGCCGCAGGGTTTCGTATATAATATGTACATAACATTACATGATTATTGCATAATATGCTATTGCTTTCATGCTTTGTAGCAGCAAGTAGTTCCACCAGTATTCATATGTTACTTTATTTTTACTTTAGTTAATCAAAATGAAGTTTTTAAAAAATTAAAGTTTCTGATTTGATACTTAATTGGCGCAGTCGTGCGGGTATTTTTTTAAAGTTTTTCCGAATTTCGAGATCGTGACCTGCAAATTACTGAAGTGAAATTTGAGGAAAATTCCTGTTCACTTCACTTAGTGTTAACTGGACATAAGAGACATTGAGAACCAATATATAAATAGTGAGAGTGTTACTGTTATTATTATAGTCTGGGAGTTAACGACATATTTCATTGTACCATTTCCGCAAGCTTCATTCTTTTTGTATGTGTTATGCGTGTAGTATATGATAGTAATATGAACGTCTGCCGGCGCACCAACACGACAGGGGGTTACAGGAGGGTTACAATTACAGCAAAAAATTAACGAAAAAAACTTATAGCCGCCTAAGCGAAACTTATTGTACATATTGGTAGAAACATAGAAAGCTCAGAAAATATGGTCTGCCACCTAAATTCCACGACAAAAGTCGTCTGCCACCCACATAAGTGAAAAATTAAAAAAAAAAAATATACCCGCAAGGCTGAAATTAATTATTTTCACAGTGAGTTTGACAAGTGTCAAAAAGAGAAAATAAATATTCCAAGTGAAAATTTTCATTTCCATTTTGAGTGTATGTGATGAATCCTTCTATAATCTCTTTAAGAACTCTAGAACATTAGACTTGAGCTTTTCACAGTTCATTTTGGTTAGCCTTACAAAAAAATAAAAAAATAAACAGGAATAAGAAAAAAATGCAGCGTCCTAGCGGTGGTGCCCGGGCACTGCATGCCGAACCCAACTTCATAGGCTTGGCAGACGATCTTCGTTGTATCTTATTCGTGGCAGACTATTATGTTTGTGTTTGTTTCCATAAAAACAAGTATTTTAATTAATTTCAGCCTTACGAGTATATTTTTTGTTTTAATTTTTTTTTTTGCGCTCACTTATGTGGGTGGCAGACGACTTTTGTTGTGGAATTTAGGTGGCAGACCATATTTTCTGAGCTTTCTATGTTTCTACCAATATGTACAATAAGTTTCGCTTATGCGGCTTTGAGTTTTTTTCGTTCATTTTTTGCTGTAATTGTAACCCTCCTGTAACCCCCTGTCGTGTTGGTGCGCCGGCAGACGTTCATATTACTATCATATACTACACGCATAACACATACAAAAAGAATGAAGCTTGCGAAAATGGTACAATGAAATATGTCGTTAACTCCCGGACTATTAGCATCGAGTCTAGTAAGTAAACCTTTCCCCAATATTTTGTTATTGGTGTTTCATATTTAAAAGTTATTTTTGGATTTTTCTTGAATTCTTTTGCAAAGGTGTAAACTTATTTTTCAAGAAAATCGAATTAAAAAAAATATATCAATTTTTATTTTTGGATAAAACATTTTTTTAATCTTATTATTTTAATTTTAAAGTAAAGCTTGTTTAATTAAAGTTTTATTTTTGTCTGGATCTGAATCAGATACTGAAAAATATCTAAGTCAATTATATCAATTAAGACCTAATATTCAATCAACAAGACAAAACAGAAACATGGGTGAAAATTTGAAGTCAATAGTTCAACTTTTGAATTCGTTTGGTGGCGAAACTCAATATCTAGAGCATTTCATTATATTAGTAATATTGATTAATTTTATCACACTTATTATGTAGGGGATCTGGGGGAAGCATGCGGTAGTAATAAACTTGTATACTCAGATAGTGAAAAGAAATATAATAATAATAGTAGATTATACCACGAGTCAATAATGATAGCTATTATTCCCGAGGTATATTTACGAACTGAGCCGCGTTAGCGGCGAGGGAGTAACATTCCTCCATAATAAGATTATTTACGACAAATTAATTTATTTGAAATTTTCTTTCCAAAAACGCTCTTTGTTCATCCATCTCAATACAAATACACAAGCACTACGCGCTTGACACTGACACTTTTGAGTTTGTTCAGGTATATTGTTTCCATGGTAGGTACTACCTCTTATTTAATTTGAAAAATTTTGTGATTGGTGTGCAAGCGGGATTAATGACCATTAATCCCTGCGGGATTAATAGATGTCATTAAACTGCCAAAATCACAAATATAATACTTACATTATATGTCAGTCGTAAATAAAAGGTATAAACTGGACAAAATAGAAAGGAGGAAAAATGTGTGTGAATAAAAATTCAAAATTACTTGACAACTAATAATGACAACTGCCACTCTACACTACCCAGATAGCAAAGAAATATTCAATAAATATTTTTTTTTTAATATTTTTTAAATATAAAAGCGACAGATTTTTAAATATTTTTTAAATATTTTAAATATAATATTTCTGAAACATCAAAAAAAAAATATAATATAAATATTTCAATTATTATATTTCCCAAATATTTAGAAAAAATATTATATCAATATTTCAAATATAATATTGCACAAATATGAAATATGAGAAAAAAAACTTCAATAAATATTTTAAATAGGTATATATTACTCAACTAAATATTTTTTTACAAATACGTTTAAATTAATTTTGTCTATTAGGTATTATTGGTTACGTTCACAAGCACTCAACTGTTGCCAACAGTTGAGTAGAGGTATGTTCGCACATAATTTACAAACCAGCCAGAGCATTGGTTGAGGACAGTCAGGAAGCTAGTTCCAACTAATAAAATTCGCTCTGACCAGTTTGTATAATTTATGTGTGAACAGACCTCTACTCAACTGTTGGCAACAGTTGAGTGCTGGTGAAGGTACCTGTTAAGAATAGTTTATTAATTTGTTCTTTTTGTTTCGTTTGATTAATTTGAAAAGTACTTGCGCTCTATATTGTTGTAAAATTAACCAGCAAAATAGAAACGTTGTCAAAATTCATTTTAAATTTGTCAGAAATCCACTAAAAATCTAAGCTCAGAACTGAGAATTTATAGAGGCTAGCGTGAGTTATTTGTATTTATTATTATTATAAAATTGTGAGCTTATATACATTTTAGGAATTTGAGTGCTACTAGCACAGCTAGAAATAAATTATAGATTTTTGAAAGGCACTACAAATCTAGTCTCATTTCCAACAAAGCTCAAATTCGTGGCGAAATAGAAAGACAGTCAATTGAGACAGAATAATTGCCCAGTTTGGTACCACATATTCCTACACCTAGGGTATCGTAAGCTTTCACAAGATCACAAAACTATATTAAAATAATTTAATTGGATTCGAGTAAGTTGCACATAATTACTGGGTCAACATTTAAAAATGGCTCCAACTACGAATACAAGTAAAGGATGCTCTAATGATGACCTCTGTCCTGTGTGTAAACGAGAATACCGAGAAGAAAATATGGTCGAGTGTACTGAATGCAAAAAGTGGTGTTGTTATGAATGCGTGAATGTATCTAATGATGTGGCAAAGAATGACTCATGGATTTGTCCAAGTTGCGAACAAAAGAATAAAAAAACTTCCAAAAGGGGAAAATCACGTTCTCATCATACAAAAAGTAATACTGTTTCAACAATTAGTAGTATAGCAAAAAGGAAGTTACAACTTCTACAAGAAGAAAGAGATCTTTTGAGACAAGAAAGAGAATTAGCCAGAGAGTCTCGAAGAATCTTAAATGAAGAAATTAATAATGAAAGTCAAAATGTTAGTGATGCAGAAGAACAAGAAGATAATTTTGAAGCCAATCAATTATTGTCTTTACAAATAGAAAATAATATATCCAGGAAAGAAAAAGATACATTCCAATCACTACAAAATTTTAATGATAATTTGCTTAATGAAGAAGTTAATAGAATTGACACATTACCCGAGTGTCAAATTTTCACCTCTAACGCGTTACAGGAACAACAAATTTACCAACCAAGAATATTAGCAAAAAATATTATACCAAGAAACATTCAAGAAGAACCAATCGAAACCCGTTTACGAAGATTATCACCTGTTTATAATAGAGGAAGGCAAATACAGAAGACTCCTTTAGTTGAAACTAACAGACATTTGCCAGACCAGTTCCCGTTGGAAGCTGGAACACAACCAACTAACATGTTACCTTCACCTAACCAATTGCTATCGACAAATTTGATATCGCATGGATGTAATGCAATAAGAAAAAACACGATTAATGATTTACCAATATTTAGTGGAAATCCTTCTGAATGGCCGTTGTTTTATAGCAATTTTGAACGTTCTACAAAATTATATAACTTGAGCAATGATGAGAATTTATTCAGATTACAAAAATGTCTTAAAGGTGTAGCGAAAACAAGTGTAGCAAGCTTTTTAATTTTACCAGAATGTGTTCCCCAGATAATTTCAACACTTAAAATTCTATATGGAAGGCCAGAGCAGATCATAAATGCACATATAAATCTAATTAGGAATCAACCCTCGCCCAAAGTAGAAAAATTGGAATCACTTGTGGAATTTGGTTTGAAAGTTAAAAATTTATGTGTATCTTTACAAGCTGCTAATTTGAATGAATATTTGAATAATCCGACATTAATGCATGAACTTATAGAAAAACTTCCCTCCCAAATTAAAGTTAATTGGGCATTGTATAGAAGTACGATTGTTAAATTTAATGGTTTGTCTGATTTCGCTGAATGGATTTTTAACATGAGTGTAAACGTTTGTACAGCACTACCAAACTTAACTTTTCAAGATAATGACAAACATAATAATAATTATAAAAGTGGACGTATACATCTTCATGATACCTCAATCAGTAAATGCAAAATTTGTAATGATAATTGCAGAAATGCTTTGGAATGTAAAAAATTTACACAAAGTTCTGTATCAAAGAGATGGGAGATTGTAAAGAAATTCTATCTATGTAGATTATGTTTAAAAAGGCAT